TCAGAAAATGATTACACATTAAGAAGATTCTCATAAAGCAAATATTGTTTTAACTATTAACAATCAACGTGATTTAAAAGCTCTATTTGATTATGTTATTTATTTAGGTATTAAAATTAGAATAAAAAGCTGTTAGTGTTGTAATTCCTGTAGGATTAAAATGTGAAAGACAATGATGGAGCTGCTATTAATAATTATAGAAACGATTGTTCTCTTCTATCTAGTTTCGAACATACTTATTGATAAAGGCAATAAGGAACTAGTTTAAATATGATAACAAGATGTTATTGATAAACGATCTGTGGCTAGTAGAGTCAGTTGAATGCGGATCACGTCCGGATCTTAAATTCTCTTGTTAACTGGATCCCATGGGCTGTACTCTTTGAAATAATTTTCAATAAAATTCTATTCATACTGATTCTCGTATAGCAACAGTTGGAACATTACTTATTAACATTATTTAAATATCAAATGACAATGTTGCCTTGATAGAACACCAAATTTTATTAAAAATAATATTGGTGAAATAAAAACTGTTGAACAATATCGTTTAATTGTTTCATTTTTAACAATTATTCTTGATTTATGTAGTTGAGAAAAATATATAGGTCAGCAATTTGTTTATCGTNAGATGCTATTTTGGATATCAAAAGCGACAAAGCAAAGAATGAATAGATAAAAAATTAGAAAATTTACTAAGATCTAAAAGACAGTCGTTTTATTAATATTTTATATCATCCTGTGTACCTTTCTTGACAAAACTCAATAGTCTCGCACATGTATTAACAAAGCTGCGATGAATCGGTTCCTAAAGTTTGATGAGTACCAAAAGTGAATCGAACCTGCATGATTCAGCATGTTTATGCTACGCTATAAAATAATCTGTCGAGTGAAAAAAGAAAAGACTACAAATACTTTTGTGTCGTGGAGATGTTCGAAACTATGTTGGAAGTTCTTTCAGGTTGAAGATGAGCATCTCAAGTTTAGATAACTCTTCAAGTGTTTCATTTAGAAACGTTCCAACAAGTGTTGATGAATTTTAGAAAAAAGAATTTGTTTTCAAAACTTGTATTATCTGAAGGCCTTGAAGTTTTATTTTTAAACTTCAGATACCTTTTGTGTAGTTGAACAATCATGAACATTTTCTAAGATCTTTTTCCAAAACCCTTCTAGCATTATACTGTTTAGAAAACTTTCTTTTAGGTTTGTCACAAGAACGATTTTTTAAAAAGTTTGATTGAATCCTAAGAAGCAAACAATCTGAGTCAACATGCTCTATAGCTAATGAATTCATGCTCACTTTATCAACTGAAGTTTCAAGGATGTGAAGGTGGATGTTGGCTTTATCTGAAATGAGTATCTACACACAACTCACATCGTCATTTATGGCTAAATTACTTAATAATATATATAACTAACCTGTTCTGCGAACAGTTTGATACTACTTGCATGTTTTAAGTTAAATATTGTGAAAATTTAATATGCAAAATGCAAGCATATTGACATCAAGCGTGACCGCGGTCGTTATGTGTCAAGCTTTCTATAAAGAGGGCTATCGAATTTCAGTGTGGACACGAAATCCAACACTTTTCATTGAAGATCACTCAATTAATCTTGTTTAATTTCAGTTTCTTCTGGCTAAAGATTGTTAACGTCGTGCACTGAAATAGTGACTTACGCAATAAAAACAGTGTCGTGGAGAGAAACACTCATGCTTTACAATAAGCGAAAATGCGAGACGAATAAATGAGCCGTCTAGTTACATTGATATTGCATTACTCTTTAAGAGCTTCGAAAGGAGAAACAGAAAACCAGTCGCCAAATAAGCCTTCATATCAATATCAAGCAGTAAGATAGCACGGTTGTAAATTGAAATCGAATATCATATAACGGGTGTGTATGCCTGACCGTTGTTTAGACATCACCTTACACACAACAATGTCAAATATACAGTAACATCTGAACTGTTGTCATCTGAATTCTATTGCATTTAATTGTCAATACAATGACGTCAATGATTTGAAATCTCAAAGATCACTGACAGTAAGAAATCTGGAGACAACAATCGTCCTGGACATTTCAATTGTGATAGCCGCAGTATTTAAACTACGATGCGCTAGTCGATCATCCTACGGAAGACTATGATCATTTGTAGCACTGGTGATAGTATTGCACTGTCCAACATTAATAAATTTTATTCATGGAAAAACTAGTCCACTCACTATGGGCAAAGAATATATTCAATAGAGTGGAGAAATAACTAGAGTCGTCTGAAAGAAATCATTCATACAATCTAGAATATGAATGATAATATCATTGGTTCTTCCATCCGCGTTGATACCCTCTTTTTCATTATATTTAATCATCGATATCTAAAACTAATGTGTAAAAGTTTTCATTATTTCTATTAATTTTGTTGTAAAATGATTATTTTAGTAAATGCATATGTTGAATATTCTATAGTTGAATGAGCAATATTTCCTCAATGTTTGCTTCCTTATTTTATCATTAACCAACATTATTTCAATTCTCCTCGTTTGGATTTGCTTGACTGTTAACATGTTTCTTTTGAAGTTTTTTTTTTCAATTTGATGATTCTATATTTCCTAATGCACACATTATTGATCAGACTTATTTTATCGATGCTACTTTATTTCATGGTCCATTTATTTTTATTAGGATTTATTAGTCTTCACCAAATAAGTTTTTTTAAAAGCTAATGTCATGTATACTGATTATTTTATGTAGATTTAAAATAAAAAAAAACTGATTTAACTGAAACTATCCTTGTTTAAGTAAATATATAAAGAACAACATTAGTTGAATATAATCTATCTTATAGCAATATGATTCATGTTCAATATTTCACTGAAAAAAAAAACAGTCATTTGGTCAAAATATCCACATGATACAAGATGGGTCATTGATAGTTCATTTTATAGTAATGATTTTTCAAAATTAATTGTAACATGGATATTCTATCCAACACAACTTAGATTTGATATTAACAGTAAAGACATTAATAAAAAGTTGTCAGAACGAGTTAGTTTTGATGGTCATTATTTGATTCATTCGAAATTCAATTATTTAGATTTTTAATCTGCTCAAATCAATGACTCTGCATTTATCTGAACAATTATTACAACCATTTTATAGTAAAGCACTACAAATGACGAAACCAGACGGGTAAATTAGTTTAACACTCTTCTAAATGAGATATTCATTTTATTGATAGAATATAGTTCAAAGCTCTGAATAATTACTTGAATATTCTGATAAGAGTACGAGATTGGCCAGGTCTCGAAGATATATGGAGAAAGGTCATTTCACAATGAGAAGACTAGCAGGAAGAAATGTGATAAAGCACAATGTTTAGTAGCAACTAGGACTAAATATAAAATTTAAAAAATTCTATTATTACTAATGCATAAAAAGCTCTAATTTGCTACATCTCTCGTATGTATCTATTGAATTTCTAAGTAAATCTTATCATTCGGATAATGTACAATTTAACAAATGAACTCAATATGAATCCTGTTCGTTGATCACTTATATTTACCATTAATTGTAGACCTCATCTCCTACATAATGTTTGATTATTAGCTAAACCAAATCAATCTGAACACTATGCTAAAGAACTTTCGACAATAATGTTAACGGTATTTATTTATTTTTTCTATGTATAAAATTCATTTTGAATCTTATCCCTCTTTTCAGAAAATGATTACACATGAAGAAGATTGTAATAAAGCAAATATTGTTTTAATTCTCGGTAAGCAATAAGACAAGTGCTTTCAGACGTATATTGATTCATGATCTATGCTCGATGAATCCAATGAGAAATCAGTTCATATCTTATGAAAGTCATACTTAATTAATATACTATCTGAATTCGCATTTCAACAGTGTATGGAACCTTGTCATTAAAACATGCTCAGAGCTAAAGGCTCGAATAAAAGAATCTCGAGACACATACCTAATGGTTCAAATCTGTTCAAAATGTGTAGCACGACTATAATTTGTTTTTCGAATTGGAATGCAGCAAACTCAGAATATGAAAGATCTACCGATTGATGCATATACTAAATAACACGGCACTTCCAGAGGGTATTTTTCGTATATGAGTAGAAGGTTCGAATTCATTACCCTTTAACTTCAACGCTGCTTTCAGGTCATGTTTCCAATAAATGACCCCAATTTTGACTGTATTTTTTTCCTCTTTATTCCAATGAAGTTTAAGCATATTTCTTTGGAACAAAGCGTATTCATATTGATTCTGATATGAGAACAGTTGGAACTTACCTGTTAACATTATTCAAGCATGAAATAACAAGTTGGCTTGGTACAACTCCACATTTTTATTATAGATAATATTAGTGAAATAAAAACTGTTGATCAAGGTCGTTTTATTGTTTTTCTTACAATTGTTCTCGATCTATGTAGCTGAAATAAAAATATTCGTCAACAATATGGTCAAGAATTTGTTGGCCATTATTTACTCTACTTTATCGTTAAATAAATATCGATAAACAATTAAATTTAACATTTAAAACACGTTTACTTGATTTATTACCATTTTTAATATCCCTTGACAATGATGAAGATCTTGCCGAAGATAAACATAAAAATGGTCCGATAAATTCTGTCGTACATTCCATACATTTACAGCTGATTGTTTTCCATTGAAAAATACAGAATTTCATAAGGGTACACAAGAATAACATGATTATCAAGGTGCAATAAGAAAATTTTTATTAGCACTTGAATTATCATCATCGTTTATATTATTTGAATTATTAATATGGATATCATGTTGTGAATAAAATCATTTATTTGAAGATGAAATTCTTTCATTAATAAATCGTTTTTTAATTAAATTAAATGATCATAATAAATAAATAAAATTACTTGAGTATATTATCTATTCAATATTATATGAATATAATACATTATTTCGTGTTGAACATCGTTTAAGCACATTAGACAAATTTATATTATAAATGTTAATATCAGTTAAAAAGATAGCATTAATTGAATTTTATAAAAAAATATATATATCATATTTGGTTATTGAACAATTTGATATTAAAACTGATTTAACATCAACAACGATAACATCGATTTTAATTAATAAAATATGTACATATCGTCTTATTGATTATATGTATAGAATATTAAGTAAAGATAATGTTTTTTATATTAAACACTTCAATAGCAAACATATTTTCTGCACCAGTTAAAAACCAAGAAGAAGTAAGAAAAATATTAAATGTTCAAATGCCAATAACAGCTATTAAAATGAGTTCGACGGTAGATGGTAAAATAATTAAATCAATGGAAATGTTATTTACAAACGTAACGACAGTTGAAAAAGAAACAAAAACGAATTTAATACGATCATTAGCAATGAATTCATTCAATTGTATTTATTTCAGTCTTAATATTTACACAAACAGAAGCTAAACTTTATAAAACATTTATTTTCGATAGTAATGCATCAAAAGTAATTGAAAAATAATTTTAACATCTTATTTGTACGATAATCATTCTTAATAACTACGTGGTAATTATATTCTCACATAGAGATGTGCGAGAGTATCCTATAGGATAGAATAGCGTACGATGAAAGCTCCTGTAAAATAGGAAAATTTCAGTGTAACAAGTTTTCGAGACATTTCTGTTCTCAAATGAACGAATAGTAATATTAAAAAAAACTTGAAAATCATATTCAAAGAAGAAACAATTGATTCGCTAATTTTATACTTCTAACAAGATATATAGCATTTTACGACTGTGAATAGTAGATAAGGTCTACTAGTCTTCTATTGAGATACTTTGTAAACTACATTTTTTCATGACTTAAATAAATTATGAAAGCATAGAAACATATGGGTTTAGGTATATCTCACGACAGTGGACCGAGTAGGGAAGTGCACCGCTCTTCTCGTGAATAACCGAAAATTTTCCTTGAATACCTAGAAAAAAAAGATGAGGCAGCTCATCGAATTCTGTACTTTCTCTGTGCCAAATAATTTCCAATACACCTTTCGAATCTTCAAACCTTCGCTTAACCCTAGATATAAGTTTGAATGGTGACGTTTTTTTTTATTTGACTCTTTAATTAAATATCCTATGTTCAGTTCGTTTTCGGTATTAAAAATTTATTTTCCTTGTTCAGAGAATTTTGTTCGTTCTAAAAATCTTCAAAATTTCATGAGTTACTTTTTTTCTCTTCAAACAACTGAATGCTGTTTATTAAATAAGATCAATATATCGTTGAAAATATAATTAATCCATATCATAAATATACATTTCCACTTGGACTCGAGCGTTACTACAAAAAAGATTACTGTGCATTATCAAATATTTTCTGTAGTTAAATCAACAACACCATGTTATTTATCATCTTAATATTAATTTGGTAGTAGTCTAATCGATGAATTAGTTGTTTTTAATTTTACTTCAATTGTTGTTAGTCAACAACAAAAGTCAATCAACTTATTTATTGAAAATATCTTTAAATAAGAAAAATGATGATAGATCTGCATTAATCGAGGGTAGAGATAATGATTATGGAACTAATTTTATTGAAGTCGAAATGGATGAACTCAATTTACATCCATGTGTGGTACCTATGATTTTTTTACTTAAACATATAACCTTATGCACGTTATTGGATAACGTCAACCATTCAAATATGTAAAAAAAGGTTTGAAAAATTTTCGGAAGTGTTTAAATACATTACTTATTGATACAATGGTTATATTATTATCATGGAACTCAGTAGTCATATCAAGTGAGCTTGACACCAACTCACCACAATGTCTTTTAGAATATTTATTTCTTTATTGTACACAAAAAATTCTCTTGTTATGCAATCAAATTTAGATTTAATTAAAAACTCAATTGAAACACATGGCATGAACATTTCTATGCATAATATTTAATTTAATGAAACATTATTAAAAAATATGAAAAATTCTTTTCAAAATAAATTATGCAGCAGCTGCTGAACTTGTTAAAAATGTTATTAAATGTTAAAAAATCGAAAGCTCAACCAAATGGACGTCTATTAGAACAATTAAGTTTTATATTAAAATGGTATACTGATCAAGAAATACTAAATACGCATATAACATGCATTTATTCATTACAAAAAACATTATCCGGATATTGTTTATAAAACGGATGNGGAGATGATCCATCTCTTGGTAACATTTACAATTGATTGTGATTTTTTTTTTTAATTTGTGCATATATATCTTTGCGTAGGTACTCAACAACAAGCAGTAGGAGCTTTATCACATGTACAAAGAATTATAAAAGAAAAGCCCCAAGTATTTGTTAAAGAAACATCTAAACGACATCGTCCACCGTAGATATTTGTTTCTTTGAATTTTGTTTTCTTTTTTTGAACAAAATATTTTATTTAGATCATGGACTGAAGCAACACTTGATGTTGCTGTTCGATGGTTACTTAGACAATGTGGAAGAATTGAAACTGAGTCAAGACGAAAATGTATTGAACTTGTTTGTACATTTATTCCATTATTACCTGGTAATGAAAGAAAATCTTTTAAAGAACTAAAATTTTAATTTATTCGTTTTGTAAAAGGTATTCGATCGATTAGAGAATATTTTGAATTAAAAGTTAAATCAGATGGAAATGTTTATTTCATTGAACGGTAAAATAAAAGATTGAAGAAACTTTTTTTTATTATCTTAATTGAAATTCTTTTTTCTTTTTGGTTGTTGTAGATTTGAAGGAACATTAAATAAAGAAAAAAAAACAAAATTTAAAGCTAATTTGGCTAATCAAACATGTTTAACTGATATGAGTGAACAATTTTCAGTTCCAATGGTTTATCAATGGCTTGATACTGTTATTGCTTCATTAGATTGTTATACTTGGGTATATTCACAAGGATTTCTTAACCCTATGTTATTTCAAGGTAAGTTTATAAAATTTTTAACAACTGATTAATCTTGAACAAATTAATTAACAATTATCTAATCATTCGATTAATCAAATAATTAATTGATTACTAATTAAATTAATTACTAATATAAAATAATTTATAATTTAATATTGTTGACTATTCAATTATTTTTAGACAACAATCAACAAAGCCGTTTAATAGTTGCATTATCATATTTTATAACAAAAATATCAATGAATACACTATATGATATAATTACGTATTTTACACCATCGAATCAAACAAATGTATTTACACCGACTGATATTAGTCAATTTGAAACGTAAACGAAGAAAACAAAAAAAAAAATTAATTGTATTTTTATTTTCTTGAATTTTGTATTATGACTTGTTTTAGAGCAAAATGTACAGTTATTGTTCGTTTATTGAATTTTATTACAGCACTCTGGTCTAAATATCCACGAGATACAATACGAGCTATTGACAGTTCATTTTATAATAATGATTTAACAAAATTAATTTTGTCTTGTGTATTTAATCCAGCACAACTAGGATTCGATATTAATAATGAAGAAATTAATAAAAAATTGCCTGAAAGAGTATGTTCACAACAAAAAATAATTATTTCATTAAGTCGAAATGTAAATTAACTCTATATGTTTAGATTCTTACTTTACTTAAATCAATGACAACTCATCTACCTGATCAATTATTACAATCATTCTATGACATTGCATTAGAAATGACAAAACCTGATGGGTATGTATAGATGTAATATTATGTCCGATGATGTTCACATGACAAGTTTTTCTACAATGAATTCCATGAAAAATTAAATCTATAGATAAAACTGTTTCATATAGATTGTAGATATTCCTAGAAACTTATCTAGTATGAGATAACCAAATCTAATTCAAGAAATTAAAGAGAATAGAATATTTAAATATTTAACATAAAACTTTGTTTTCAAAATATAATTTAAGACTTTACAATTTAACCAAGGAACTAAATCAACATTCAATTCATTGGTCATTAATATTTACTATCACTCGTGGACATCGTCTTTTACATGATGTTCGATTGCTACCTAAACCTAATCAATCTGAAGAATATGCAAAAGAATTATGGACAACAATGTTATCGGTATTGATTTTTCTTTTCATTATTATAATTGAAATTGTTAATTTATACGTTTCATTTTCTATTTCCAGAAAATGATTACTCATGAAGAAGACTTCGATAAAGCAAATCTTGTTTTAACTGTCGATACTCAACGTGGTTTACAAGCTCTACTTGATTATATTATTTATTTAGGCATTAAGGTACTGACACGATTTTTTTGAAGTTTCCACATATATCAGATTTGAAGTTAATGTATCTAATTTTTTAAATAGTATGCAGCGGAATTAAAAAAAAAGGACTTTTTATGCTTAAGCATACAAAGCAATCAATTGTGTCCAAAATTTTCATAATATCTAATGGAAAAAGTTTTTCAGGCGATTTCGGAAGTGGTTTTTAGAAGCTCAGATATAAATGTTGGTCACAGTCTTTTAGAATTTGCAGCTGAAAACGAGAAATATTATAATGTAAATATCCTAATTAAAGTTTCAAGTTTTCGAGAAATCAATTAATCAAAAGGGTCTTCAATTACATGCAGAATGATCAATATTGTTTAGGGATCGGAATAGCTGAAAGTTCGATAGAAAGTGTTTTTATTCTCGGAGTATGAGTAGTGGTGGCGATCGATCGGAGTGAAAGAACGAAACCCATCGTGACCCAACTCCAACCCTATTTCCCTCACAGCAGCATTTTTTATTTATTTTCATTTTCATTTTCTTTTTACTAAGTAACTTTCCAAAACATTCTAAATAATTTCTATTTTTCTTTAAAAGGCAAATGAAGTTTTACCATATTTTTTTCAATCCAATCGTATTCATACTGATTCTGGTATGACAACAATTGGTACATATTTATTAACATTATTTAAACATCAAATAACAAGTTGGCTTGGTATAACTCCACAATTTATAACTGATAATGTTGGTGAAATAAATTCAGTTGAACAATGTCGTCCTATTGTTGCATTTTTAAGTACAGTACTTGATTTATGTAGTCGTGAAAAAGATATTCGTCAACAATATGGTCGACAATTTATACATGGTATATATACATGTTGGCCACAATTTTCTCCACTTTATTATTCAACAAATATTGATGATAAATTATTAATTGTAACATTATTAACAAAAACATTTATAATTGATAGTCATCAATTAATATTACATGAACAATTTGATAATATATCACAAATGTATTTATTATTATTAATTGATAAACAATTAAATTTAACATTTAAAATACGTTTACTTGATTTATTAGCATTTTTTGCATCGATTGATACAGATGAAAATTTAAATGAAGATAAACGTCAAAAATGGTCAAATGATCTATGTCGTACATTACGACAATTTACAACTGATTGTTTTCCATTAAAAAGTACAGAATTTTCTATTGGTACACAAGAATATCATGAATATCAAGCAGCTATAAGAAAAATTTTATCAGCACTTGAGTTATCATCATCATTTATATTATTTGAATTGTTAATATGGATGTTATGTTGTGAACAACATCATATATTTGAAGAAGAAATTTTATTATCAATAAATCGTTATGTTATTAATTTAAGTAATCATGTTAAACAAACAAATTTACTTGATTATATTTATTCAATTATATTTGGTAAAAATATATTATTTCGTACTGAACATCGTTTAAATGCATTAGAAAAATTAATATTAAAAATTTTAACATCTGTACGTAAAATAACATTAATTGAATTTTATAAAAAATATATATGTACATTAGTTATTGATGAACTTGATATTAAACTTGATTTAACATCGCAAACATTAATATCAATATTAATAAATAAAGTTTGTACATATCGTTTAATTGATCATATGTATACAATATTAAATAAAGATGATATATTTGGTATAAATTCATCTATAGCAAGAGTTTTTTATGATCATATAAAAAAACAAGAAGAAGCTAGAAAAATTTTAAATGTTGAAACACCTTTAACAGCTATTAAAATTGGACAAACATTTGATGGAAAAGAATTAACTAAATATGTTATTACACGTGCACGTGCACAATTTGTTGATGGAAGATTAATGAAATCTATGGATGTTATGCTAGCTGGAATAAATACAAATGAAAAACAAGTTAAATTACATTTAATACGTTCATTAGCAACAAGTTCATTTAATAGTCTTATATCATTACTTATTTGTACACAAACAGAAGCTAAACTTTATAAAGCTTTTATTTTTGATGCTAATCCAGCTAAGGTAAATCATTAAGTGACAGTACTTTGACTCGTAATCAGTTTGAGATGTGATTTTGAAGTATGAATGAAAAATGGTATGGATAAAAATTTTCGCTCGAGAAGTCGTCCTAGATCAAATTTCTAGCTTATTGAAAGCCACAAGGAGAATCTTGCAATTCGGTTCAACATGGATCATGACTTTGGGTGCCGAGCTTGACCTCATACTCGAACTCCATCAAGTAGTTAATTCTACAAAAGAAGACTTCAGTTCATCTTCCTATATTAAAAACTCAATTTTGATCTTTTTGCTGATAACAAGAAACACGGGTTTCTTAACGAGGAAAGTTCCGTTACTGATAAATCGCTTTTGAATCGAGACTATATGCACTATGTTGACGGAAATGAAATATCAATACTCTGAGAAGACTTCGCGTTCTTAGCCTATTACATTTTACGGTACTTTTTAAATGAATGCTATGATGCTGGAAAACCCATTTTCGGATGTCGACTGGAAAATCTGCATTGGGATAGACCTTAACGACAGTTGTTTCATTCTTTTGATTTGCTTCTATTCTGAAATACAAACATAAAATATGTCAGTTCATATGAGCAATATAAAAAGACATGCTCTTATCGTAGTTGTATCTTAGGACAGGAACAGCAAGAAGATCTGAAACACCTACAAAAATTATTTTCCGATTTAAGGCCTGTCTCTGTCAAAAGCTTGTCATCGGAATTCAAAAATCAGTTTTTCTGTTACCACGGCATTGATTTAATAAAACACTAAAAGTGCAATGAGCGAAGACTGCGAACTCTTACTAAGGTCTCCCTAACTCACTTATGTCTACATAATGCTCATAGTCTTGACTAGAGTCTAATAAAGTTCAAAGTTTTCGAAATTCGACAAGCTCTAGTCTCGACTGAAAATCGATCTATCATTTAGAATACTTTTCTCTGAAGAGTTAGTCTTAATTCTAATTAAATAAAAGTCTATATTTGCATAAAGTTTGCTTATTTATGTTTTAGGATGAATATATTTTTGAAAATCTAATTGATTCAGATCATAAATATACATTTCCTCTTGAACTTGAACGTTATTATGCAAAAGATAAACGTACATTATTAAATATATTATGTAAAAAAATTTTAACAACATCGAAATCCGATAATCCACAATATCAACAACGTCTATCTAGTACTCCACGTTATTTATCATCACAATATTTATTTGGTAGTAGTTTAACAGATGAATTAGCTGTTTTTGATTTTACATCAGCTGCTGTTAATCAACAACAAAATGATTTAAATAAAAGTTTATCAAATTCTTTATTAGATAATTCATCAACAAATTTAATGAATCAAAAAAAAATTGATAATGATAGACCAGCATTAATTGAAGGTTCTGATGATGAAATAGGTTCAGAATTTATTGATATGGAAATGGATGAACTTAATTTACATCCATGTATGGTACCAATGGTTTGTTTATTAAAACATATGGAAACAAATGGAATTATTCCAATAAATAATCATACACATGAAATGCCACCATGGATGATATGTATGTATAAAAAATTTAGTGATCCACTTATATCANCATTTAATATTAAATTATTTATTATGCGTCTTATTACACATACACATACAATATTTAAACCTTATGCCCGTTATTGGTTAACATTAATAATTCATATGTGTAATCAAATGTTTGAAAAATCTTCAGAAGGTTTAAATACATTTCTTATTGATACAATTGTTATATTATTATCATGGAATACAATCGCTATGCCAAGTGAACTTGATAGAACATCAGTACAACGTCTTTTAGAATATTTATTTCTTAATTGTACACATAAAAATTCTCTTGTTATGAAATCAAATTTAGATTTAATTAAAAAATTCATTGAATTATGGAATGAACGTATATATTCACCAACATTAATTCTATATAAATTAATATCTGATCAAGATACTAAATCAAAACATAATGCTATTGGTTTATCATTAATTGGGATATTATTAGCTAATAATATATTACCTTATAATGAAATAAATGATTTAACTAAAGATAAATTTAATGAAACATTATTAAAAAATATGAAAAATTCTTTTCGAAATATTTATGCAGCAGCTGCAGAAGTTGTTGGAATGTTATTAAATGTTAAAAAATTAAAAGGTCAATCAAATGAACGTTTATTAGAACAATTAAGTTTTATATTAAAATGGCATAGTGGTCAAACTATACAAGATACATATGTAACATGTATTTATTCATTACAAAAACATTATCCAGAAATTGTTGATAAAACGTATATGAAATTTTATTTTGAAAACAAAAAAACAAACAAACAAACAAATTTTCTTTTGTATTTTTATTTTAGTGTTATGAATAAATTAATGTTTGGTTTGAAAAAATTATATGGAGATTTTAAAATGGAATGTTTAGAAGCAATGATTGCAAATATTACAGAATTTGATTCGACATATTTAGAATTAAAAGCTGCTGGAATACTTGATATTCTTATTCATAAGTAAATAGAGTCTTTTTTTAATTAGAAATTCTTATGAAATGTATGCAGAATGAATGGCATTTTGTGGAGAGGTATTTACTTCTTTAATCCTTGTAAAGAGCATTATTTCTAAGAATAGTTGGTGCAATTCGTAGTGCTCAGTACTATGTCGTCCTGCTGAGTACTACAGAGATGTGTGGGACCAAGGTTGTTTGATTCCGATCTCGGTTATGGTTCCGGATCACAGAAAATTATTCCAATATTTATTTGTATCACGTCTAAAACAATCCGTCAATACTCGTTTTTTTGATTATTTAGTTGACGACGAGTACTTTTTTAGGTCACCTATCTTGAATTATGCTCAGAGAGATATGATTTATAAGATAATTCGCTTAAAACTATAATCTTTAATTTCGGTTAGAAGAACTTTTTGCCTCGTAGTTCTAGTCGTGTACATCTCTAGTATCGTCTATTGATAGAAATAAGATTCTGTATAAGAACGGATGAGGTAAACTTCGGTCCGATCCGAAGATTTCTCTAACCCATATTTCTTTATTGACTATCAAAATCTATATGAATTTCATATGTTGTTTTCTTTTTGGAATAAGATCAGTTAGAGTTAGTCAACATTAGAATGGTGTCATGATCTTTTGAAAAAGAATTTTTTGTTTCGTAATGAATGCGAGAAAAGTTTTCTATGATTGAAGAGTGTTACAGATTTGTCAATAGAACTCGTGTTAAGTGAAATCTAATGAAGAACAGAAAGAGGAAGAGATAGCTTTATCCAAAGATGTACTGTGTTCAATGATCAATATCACTTCACTATGAATGATTTTTTTTAATTCGACTCAATTTAAATGAACACAAAAAAATCCGACTGGATTCTCTCATTCTGAATGATATAATATTAGCTACTCTTCAGTTAGAAACTTAAAGCATTCATTCCTGTGTATATGTTATTGAGATTGTTCATTTGTACTTAACAGTAATCTGAGAATGAGATGTTAGAGTTCAACTCAAGGGTCTGCATTAGACATGTGTTAATCCCCTGTGAAGAAAATGAACATATGTTTTGAACAAGTTCTCTCTCATGCAATACTAGCTCAGTCAAGTTGAAAGTTGGTTATCAACTTTAGAACAGTTGATGAAGCTGTTAACCATTCAGTTTAGGCTCAATGCACATAAGAACAGATATTAAACAGTTGTTTTTTTATTTGACTCGTTTCTTTTGGCTCCTTGAACTACGAGCTGTCACATAACTGTTCTACATCCACATTACTCTTTTTCATTCTTGTGATATTTTCTAAAGATAATTTTATATCTATGTAGACTTGTTAATACAACTGTTTGAAATCTTGATGATGAAAATCATTAACTATATCTTTTCTTTTTCTTATTTGCAGAGATTTTAGTATTCGTAGTGTTGCATTACGACTTTTACATAAACTTTTACCAAAATTAACTCATGAACAATTATTTGAAATAGCACAAATTTTATCTGTTGATGGTTCAAATGAATGTCAATATTGGACACTTGAAATTTACAAATGGATGTATGATTATATAACACAACATATAACAAATGAAGTAAATATTTCTTTAAAATCCATGTCAGAAAAATTTTATCATCATGTACGTGAACAATTACTTCAATTATTATCAAGTAAAAATGAATATATTCGTGTTAATTGTCGTAATTTTTGGTGTGATCCAAAACGTTTAAGTATATCATCACATCATCGTCTTATTGCATTAGTTGATCAATTATATTCAATAAAAACTGAAAATGAATATTTAAATTATTGTACAAATTTTCTTCTTGAACGTACAACACATAATCCTGATTATAATCGTTTTATATTTGAAAATCCACTTGATAAATGTATATTTCAAGAATTTCCATTAGTATGTAATTGGCGCCAACAACATCATACATATATGATACCATTATTTACATTACAATCGCAAACTACAAATGATCCAATAAATACAAATATTATGGCAATGGATCCATTTCATTTTATACAAACATTAACAGATAATAATAATAAAATTGATCAACAACAACAAAATTCAACAACAGAAATGCTTTTACAAACACAAGAAATATCTAATCGACAACAATTTATTCCAACACAAATGTTAGATAATAATACAAATTATAATTGGCTTAAACAAACAAATACATTCGATACATCAAATACATATATATTACCAACTTTATCAACTCAAAATAAACAAACATCATTAATAGTTAATGTTGAAAATACAAATAAAAAATCAAAATTAAATTCATTATCAATAAATCAATTTAATAAAAATGATAATGATGAAGATGATATATTTCGACTTAAACGACGATTTCTTAAAGATACAGGTAAATTACATAGTTATTTTGCACGAAAACAAAATGAAAAAAAAACGAAAAGAAAAACAATTTCTTAATGAAATTAAACTTAAACAAGAAAATCAAGTTGAAAAATATCGTACATATCGTATTGGTGAATTGCCTGATATTCAAATACGTTTTAGTGATATTATTATACCTTTACAAGCACTTGCTCAATATGATGATCATATTGCTCGTTTACTCTATTCAAATTTATTTACATCAATATTAATATCTCTTGAAGATAAATTATCTAATGATGAATATATTGAATGAATTGAAACAATTCAACATCGTTTTAATGTTATGTTATCTCAATCGGAAATATTCTATCCATCATTTGTTATTTCTTTACTTGATATTATTTTATCAAAACCTAAACAAATTAAAATTTCTTCTCAATATATTAGTGCAGCTTCTATAGCTAGTCATTTAGAACCAATTGGTATATTAACATTAGAATGTTTTATTCGTTTAAATCAAACAAATGAAACAAATGAAGTTATATATGAATCAATAAAAAAAAAATTTAAATCAGATCCTATTTTAAATAATCAATTATATAAAGATATTGATTATTGGCTTGAATTAGCTAAATGTTATCGTTCAATAACAAATTATGATGATGTACGTGGTATTTTTTTTTGTCAAATTTCATCATTAAAATCTTTAACATTAAAAGCTATTGAAGAAGAAAGTCATTCAGATTTTTTATCAGCTTTAAATAGTTATGTAACAGCATTAGAACAATATCCATTAACAAATGATACAATAAATGATTCAGTATTAGAATTAGAACATGAATTTTGGACACAATCAATGTTAAATTGTTGTAATCAATTAAATAATTGGACAATTTTGTCTAAACATATATTTATTGGAAATACAACATTTGATACATTATGGTCAAATGCATATCAATTAAATTATTTAATGCCATATGCTATACGTACTAAACTTAAATTACTTATATCAGGTACTAAACAAGAACAATTAGAACAAGAAGATCTTTGTCAATTTTTTAATAATTTATCATCAACTACAAATATTACATCAACAGCAACATCCGATTCTGAAACAACATTTGTTGAACGTTCGTATATTGAAAAACAATATCCATGTGAATTGGCGACTTTCTTTCTTTATCAAAAAGATTTTGATCGTAAGTATTTCAGAAAGAAGAAAAAAAAAGAGACTAATAAAATTACAAATGAAATTTTTTATAGGTTCAAAATATTATATTCAATATTCTTAAGCAAAAATTTTTACTTCGTTGGTCACAATTAAGTAGTTTAAGTGAATATGGTCGTAATACTACAATACAATTAATTCAACCATATCATGAACTTGATCAATTTCTTATTTTTATTGAACATAATTTACCTTTACTTAAAACACTTGAAAATCATTATTTAACAAATAATAAAAATGATACAATAACTCGTGATTTATTTCATGAACGTATACATAATGATTTACTTTCACAATGGAAATTACCAGATGTTATTCGTAGTTCTATTCCAATATGGGATGATATTATTACTAATCGAGCTCTATTTTTAGATGTAAGTCAATGATTAAATATTGTAGAATATCTTTTTTTTTCTTTTTTTATTTTATTTTAACTTTAGATTCTTAATGAATTAGTCGGTGGACCACGAATGACATTTACAAGTCGTTTAAAAGCATTAGAATTTGATTCAATACTTATTGATTATAAAGTTCAATTATCACTTGATATGGCATATTATGCATTACGACAACGTAATTTTAAATTATCTCTAACAAAATTAAATGATACACGTAATCGACTTGATTTATGTCAAAATCCATTAATAAAATCAATTTATTGGAATGAAATCTATTGTGATGTACATTTAAAACGTCATCAAATTCAATCATCAATATCAACATTATCAAGTTTATTATCAACACTTGTTGCTAAAGAATTAAAAAAAATGGAAATAAAAATAAATTCATTACAAATTATTGATGAACGAACAGCTTCATTAAATTCAACATATATACAATTAAATTCACAATTTTCTCGTACAGTTATAGATTTTTTATTTGCACAACCAAAATCTTATTTTGATTATGGAAATGGTAATAAAATTTCACAAGCTAAACATAGACAATTAGAAATATATTTATATGGTTCAGATGATCAAACAACTAATATACAGACAGCAGATTTATTAATTAATGAATTATTTAATAAAAGTCTTAATATATTAAAAAATAATATTGAAAAACAAGAAACAGATTTACAAAATTTATCGGTAAGAAAAACAAAACATGATTCTGTAGGAAAATTCGAATAGATACTAATTCAATTTTGCTTTCGACTATGACTAATTCAGATTGAACGATACAGTGCTGTATTATTGTACCCAAAATTACAAGAAAATACGATCTGTTTACGCACCGTACGATATAAAGTTACGGCGAAAATACAGACCAGAGACCGAAACGAGTCAAAAAAAGCGCGACTCGACTCGGTTTGAGTTGAGTCGAGTCGAGCCGAGCCGTCGAGTACTCGACTCGGTTTCGGTCTCTGATACGGACAACTGTATTCATCGACCTGAGAAGACTAATTTGAATAGTTCCATTTAAATAATCTTTACGTAAATGAATGTTGCATTCTATTACGTTCAAATCAAATCTATTCGCTTCCAAAAAACTATGACGCGTATTTCTGATATATTTGTTCAGTCAACTAGAAACGGATGATAACATACGCCAATAAAATGTCTGTTATATCTAAAGTAGGAACAAAAAAATTGAACGNTTTCGAGCTTGAATAAAATTCCAAATATTGAGTTTACTAGATCGAAGACTGCTCTACAATATCCACGAAGACATCAAATTGTGAACTCTTATCCAAGTGATTTTACAAAGACTGAGTTGAGATACCATCTCTTACTCTAGCTGCTCGTGAAATCAGAGAAAAACGATCAGTAGATCAGCAAAAGATCAAACGTAATACATGAGCAAATACAGCGGATCGTAAAGTAGAAGTATATACGACTGGAATTGATTGACATTCATACAATATTGAAAAATTAATAATCACAAAATTTAGTAAGATTTTAAAATTTCTTGTTCTTTCATTAATTGTGGCAACTTTCACGTACGATTTCAGCAATTATATCTATCTAAATGAAAGGTCGTGGAAAGTTAAGTTATTTTTTTACTGTAGATACAGTTCATCGAAGTCTACAGTGGAAGATGACTTTGAATGATTTGAATAAGATTTATATGTTTTACGATATAACCTTCATGGAATGATCCACTTGATATAGACCAACTATGAAATATTAAAGCTACATTTTTGTTAAAGACTGCACCTCACTATGTTGAGACGTTCATGAGATACTATCAGGAATATAAAACGAGTTGCTAGATGTATAATTCATCTTGAGCACTATTGTATCAATTTGAACGAGAAATTATGATTGTTTTTTTCAGAAAACGCATTCGATTGCACTGGCAATTGTTTTATTTTCTGTTAGTTTACTGTTATGTTCATGTATCATCTATCGGATGATTATTGGTGTGTATGCTCTTACTCGGAAGTGTCGTCAGCGACAACAGCAACTCAAACGAACCACTAAATGTAACAAATCTTCTCGTGTTACTAAGGTCGGACGGTGGTCAAAACGATGTTTTTGGAAGCTGAAGACGATACCAATTCCAGTCTCTATCGATGGATATCAACAGGTCGTCGTTTAATTCGTCTTCAAATTTCAATTGTAACGAAGCATAGTTGCTTTCATTTTTGGAAGAAATTACGCTTTTTTCTCAGGAAAGAATTTTGCTTTAACCGAATTTTTCTGTGTAGATGTCTTCTTGTATTTTCTTGTATTATTGTTGTATGCTGCCCAGGAACTTCAGAATCCAAAACTGGCATGATTTTCATGAATTTCACGTTAGAAACATGAAAAAAAATGGTATTTTTAGATAATGAAACGCATATCATTTTTGATGTTTTTCAATTTCATCAATGAAATTGAAAAATATCAAAAATAATGTCCGCTTCATTATCCAAAATGCCAGTTTTTTTATATTTGAAGTCGCTGGGTGGCGCGGTGCTTTTTGAATTTTTCTCTTCAATATTTGACTAATAATCTCGGCTTTATATATTGCTTGTCAAATAAACAAAGTTGTTGGTGTTACAGATAAATTTGACTCAGTCACATTAGTGCTCTTTTGTTACTATCATAATGTGTGTTTTTCAATCGTGATATTACCTAGCACATACTTATCTATTATCGAAGACCATTACAGCAATAAACTTTTCAGAATGTTTATCTTTATTTTTGAAAAGGTCATTCGATTTATATCCCAAAAGAATTACTTTTGAGTATCAGTTAGAGTTTCATAATTTTTCTAATAGCTTCAGCTTCATAGTTTGTGCGAATCAGAATTTATTGGCTTTTTCAGACGAGAGGCGGGTCAACTTCGACTCACAACTTCTCTACTTAGTATGCTCTGTGAAAAGAGAATACTTCTGCGCGTATATCCTCAAATTTTGACATTATTTGAATGTTCTTAGTCGGAGTTATAGCTGGTACAAGACTATTTTTTGCTGAAACATCGTTCTTCGGTGTACATCGTATTGTACATATTTTTTTTGGAAGATGATACATGACAATGTCCAATCTTCTTCACGTAAAAAGATGGAGACACAAATTCTCTATCCAATACACTTAATCCGTGGTTCAGAAGGAAGTCTCATAGCTTAGTTTGAGGCTAAATGATCTATTTCACATGGAAAATGTTAGTCTTCTGACTGATTTTAGCCTTTGTCTTATGGTTTTGGTAAAATTTGAAATTTATATGCCACAACCTAGTTTGATAGAGAATTTCAAACTGTACAACTTTTCCATGGGTTATATTAGACAGATGCACTTTAGAGAAAGTGCAAAAATATTTTGGTTTAATTTCAATAGAAGACCAGCTATAGGACCAGTTATCTTCGCTCAGAAAAAGGTGTGACGGTGGATGTGAATACGGTAGTTGAGTATGGGTGTGAGTGGGGGTGGGGGTGCGCAGGTATGGGTGTTCTTCCTCTCTTAACTTACACCCACACCCTCGAACTAAACAAAAACATGTGAACATAATCCCCACTTTCATCAAAAACTTTCACAATGTGATTCAAACTAAACTGATTCATTCACATCTAGACAACCATTGAATTAAAAAAAAAATTAAATCATCACAATCTCTCTCTTTCGACTGCACTCTATCCTACAACCAATCAAACTATCGTAGTCATCTAACTCACCACCGAATTATTTAAAAAACGGGTGGCACATAAATGATATACGATTCGATGATAAAACAACTCCATTTTTTCGATCATTTTTACTTCCGCATGCTTGCCTCTTCAAAATTATAAATTATATAAAAATATTTCTTTCTCTATCTATTTCTACTTCGACATGGGTGCCTATTCGAAATTATAATGCATATAAAAACAAATCTTTTTCTATTTTTTGCTTGTTGTGGGAGATTGCCCGTGTGAAAAGGTTTTCTATTTCTTTCCGGATGTCAAGACATGAAAGTCGTTTTTTTTTCATTTATATTCGAACTCGAATTAGACAGCTTCTCATTTATATGGCTTTGATGATCAAACTACTAATATACAAACAGCAGATTTCTTAATCAGTGAATTATTTAATAAAAGTGTTAATATATTAAAAAATAATATTGAACAACAAGAAACAGATTTACAAAATCTATCACTAAGAAAATATAATTTTGCAAAAACTATGACGGGCATATTTGTTGAATGAATTAAAAGTGGATGATATTATGCATCAATAAGTTTTCTATCATATCTAACGTAGAGACAAAAAGTTGAACGAACATTTATAGTAAGGGTGGAATTGAGAAAAGAACATTTTATTAGTAGAAAGAAGTAATCAATCTATGGAAAACTTCGATATTTAAAACATGACTTGGACACCTTTCCTAAACTGAGTGCAAAACTCGAAAACGTCAAAGATGTTTTCCTCATCAAATGTGATTGTCTGCAAAACGTTTCGAATGAAATTCAAAAAATTGACTTTCGGACATCTCAGTGTGACAGAAGCGAGAAAATGTAAGAGCGATAAACAAAAACTGTAGTTTTTCCTCTTTTATCTCTGGATACGAGACTATCTCATCACAAATATTAATGAAAGTTGAAAAAATATTTCTTCTAATAGAAAGTCCTTTCTGACTATATTTTTGGAAAGAGAAGAAAGATTGAATAAATTTTTTTTCTTTAGACAAATATTCGTATTGCTAAAGAAAATATTCTTAGTCGGGATTATAATGAATTAGCAAGTCTTTGTGATGATTATTTACGTCGATATGAAAATAATGAAGATGAAAATAATTTAATGCATAATTTATTTTCTGGTAATAATAGTAATAAAATAGCAGAAATAATTGTTAAATCTGTTCTATCATCAATGAAATATGGTTCAAATGAAGGAGTTAAACGTTTTTCACGTTTATTACAAATAATTGAATGATATCCAAATACAATGGAATTTATAGATAATCGTTTACAAGAAATTCCTTGTTGGATGTTTTTTGATTGTTTATATCAAATAACAGCATATTTAGATAAACCAATAGAGTAAATAATAAACATTTTTTTTTATTAAAATTTTTAATAATAAACTTTTCTTTTCTAAGTCTTAAATTATATCCTCAATCAATTGTTTATCCATTTAAATTAAGCTATGAAACATTTCAATATTAAAACATAATCTTGAAATTATACGTCAAAAATTAGATCGTCATACACCACTTATTAATGAATTTATTCAAGCATTAAATCAATTAAATCCTCAACAAGACTATGAAAATTGATGTAAAGAATTATATCAATTATTAGCAAATGATCGAAATATACGAGATATAAATAAACTTAAAAATCATTTAAAAAAATTTAAAAATATTCTTTTTTCTTACATGATTAATAATGATGAAACAAGTGATGAACATTCAATAATAATAACATCACAAGATAGTGTTTTTAATGATGATAAAGATCAACGATTAATAAAACCACGCTTAACATCAATACGTTATCAATTTAAAAATACAGTTGAAAAAGATTTAGATAATTTATTTGGTAAACAAGGTGAATTATTTTCAACAGTTTTATTAACAGATGTTAAATCTATACTTACAAATCTTGGTACAAAATTAAAATCTATAGCACAAGATAAAACAAATATAAATGATTATTCAACATGGTTTTCATTAACATTTCGACAACAACATCGTATATTAGGTACACCATCAATACGTGAAATTGAAATACCTGGTCAATATACAAGTAAAAAAAAACCATTACTTGAACATCATATTAAAATAGTTGGTTTTGATGAAAAAATTTTGGTTTTACAATCATTAAGATTACCTAAACGTTTAACTATACGTGGACATGATGAAAATGATTATCGATTTTTAGTTAAAGGTGGTGAAGATATACGACAAGATCAACGTATTCAAGCATTATTTTTAATTATGAATGATCTTTATGATAATGATCCAAATTGTAATCAATCAAATTCAGCACATATTACTGTACAAACTTATAAAGGTAATACATGAATAGAAAACTGTTCATATTTAAGAAAAAAAATATAATTATTTTTATTTAGTTATTCCAATGTCAACAAAATTAGGTATGATTGAATGGCTTGATAATACACGTCCATTAAAAGAACTTATTGAAGCAAGTTATACACAAGCTGAACATGATATTATTTCACAAGGTCAACATCCAAGAAAACTTTATCAAGATTATGTTGCTAATGTATTTCAAAAATCTAAACCAACAGCTAAATCAACTAGTAATACAATTATGTATGCTGAATTATTTATTAGTTTAACAAAAACACAAGTACAAGATGAATTTAATAAAATTCAATCT